TATGTACGAAACAATGAACGCGTTAGTTTAAGTATATAAGTTTTGACACATGTTTTTTTTCTGTGTCTCGACAATCTATGTAAACATAAATATATATAAATTATTATAACATTTTGCAATATATATGTAATATTGGCAAATAAAGGAGACTGGCAAATCGGCAGAGGTTTACTTGACGTTGCGGTTTATGGCGGTCGACTTCAAGATGATTACGATGCAAGAGCGTTGCGCTCGATGATACGCGATGCGTGGGCCAGAGATATTTTTGAGGGTCAACGAAAGCTGGGAAACGCGTTGAAGATAATCGAAGATGATCCAATAAAATCGTTGGAGAGTTTGGACGATACCGACTCTCCAAAAGAGTACTTCGGTCTCCCTGCTAACGCTCATAGGGCATGGGAAAGATCTGCTGCGGAAAAAGCCCTGACATATCTCAAAGGTAAATGCGTTGAAATCGATAAATAACACTTTATAATTAATTACACCAAATTTATATACATAACTGTGTTTATTTTAATACATATCCATTTTTTAATTTAACCGTTCAAGTTCTTGATTCCAGCTGATGTGTACTTTAAATTTTTAAGGTATTTTGGTGAAATCTTTCAACAACAGTGAAGGAAACAGTAATAAATTAGAAAAATCGAAAGTTCAACAAGATCTGAAGGAAGTTATGGATCGACAATGTTCCTTGACATATGACAGTACTATAAGTACCATAAGCGAACAGAAAAGAAATCCTTTGCAGGACTTTTTCATAGATGAATTTGATCTTACAAGGAAGCTGTTGAATGTTGTACGAGCGGACATGGACGCGTCATCTTTCCAAGATAATGAAGTGAGGCAAAACTGTGTTTTCTATTTATAATATTTGTTTTATAGAGAATAATAATTATTATTTAATAATAATTATTATTCTTATTTATAAATAATAATTATAAATAATAATTATTATTTAATAGTTATTTATTTTGTTTTTTTTTTTCAAAAATAATTATTTATATTTTTTATAATAAATGTATATTAGTAATTAGTGTATATTATTTATTAGTGTATATTATTTATTAATTATATTATGTATTCTAATCGCGAAGACTCCAGAGCATTGGTTTATGGAATGGCGATCAGGCCCGAAAAATGCTAATCAATTTGCAAAAGCACTTTTGTCAAAGTACGAGACATTAAAATCTTTAGCAGTGAATATACCTTATCGAGTTGATTTATCTCAATTGTCTCGACCACGTGCTCTTTTAACTGCACTAAAGCAACATACCGCACGAGAACTTGGTTATCCATTAGAAGCACTTCATCTTCACGCTAATTGGACTGAAAATCGTACAAACAAGGAATGGAAAGTGTCACTCCAACTTGAAGGTTTACTTATATCAGGTAAACTTAACTAACTTAAAAAGTTTAAAAATATTTCAATATCGAATTCTTATTAACTGACGGAAGAGCTAAAATTTTTCTTAATAAATCATTTTTATATAACTATGTGAGTAGCTTGGAGAACTTTTATAGATTTTTCAATGAGATAACATACTGAAATTTAAAATATTATTATAAATTATATATATACAACGTCTAAAACAATGTCTTAATTATAGGAGCTTCGATCGAGAAAGGTGTCTTGAAAGATCTGGATGTAAATTCGGCAGCGGTTGCGGTTGCTCCAACATGTCAAGTGGCGTTTATGCCGAAAGAATATTCGGAAGATAAATCCGACGACGATAACTGTGTTATTCTTGAAGATACGTATCGACAAAATTATTTGAATATACCGGTTTATACAAATGTTCAACGAGAAGCTTTAATCTGTTCGTTACCGGTGACGTGCTTGAGAGAAGATCGCGATGCATGGTTTCGTCGAGGTGTCATTTTATATTTGAGATAAGTAATTTTTTAATATAATCATTTAATGATGAAACCAATGATATCATCTGACGATGATAAAAATAATTTCCAACGAAATGATATGCATGAAATATTAAAATAAATTTCTAATTCAAATCTTATAAATCATGAAAAATACAAGTCAAATAGTTTCAGTTACTATGTAAATAAATAGAATTTTTATTTTTATTTAAGTACGTAGAGGTATATTATAAAATTATGTTAATTTTTATTTTATTTATTATTATTTATGTATATAGGATATATAGCAAAATAGATGAAAATTAAAAAATTAAGCTTTTTTGAGGTACAAAGATATAAAAATTGTAGAAATTCCGAGATTGAAATAATTAAAAACTGTAGTTTTTCATGCAAATCATCTTGTATGAAAAGCAAATAATAATTTGTTAAATACTAACAATTGTTTAATTGTTTAATTGTTGAACAATTGTTTAATTGTTAAATACTAACTGTTAAGAAATTAATATTTGTCAAAAAAATTTTCATTATTTGTACAAAGTCTTAATAGAGTTTTAAGTTATTTATTTATTTATTTATTATATCTTATCAAGAAAATATAATTTAAATCAATAAACTTTAGAAATATCACTTTGCTCTTTTGATTAAATAAAAAGATACAAGGTAGGGAAAGACATATCACATGCCAATACATCAAAAACATCATTGGATTGAACAATTTTAATACGCTTATTATTATTAAAAATACATAGAGATATGTCGGGAATTTGTTGGAAGATAATATTATACGGGGCATCATATCCCTACAGCATTAAGTTTCGTTCACAGATTCCTCGACTAGTTTGAGACAATCTTATTACGTTTCACTTGTTGGAATATCTCAAAAATAGTTCGGTAACTTTAATTGGTTTGTTTGAGATAGATTTAAAATTACAGATAATACATAGCAATATCATTCGTTTTAATGAAATAAAATAATCATTATAATTGGTCCGATGTCACGATATTTTTCGTACTGCATAAAATGCATAAAATACTAAGAGATGTATCGATGTTTACATAAAACTGTTTCAGTTTAATTTCTATTCTGTAGAAAATAAAAACTATATCATCACCTTATTTCAAATTGGAAACTTATTAACAAACTAAAATTGTCTATCTTTTAAAAATATCTAGGAACGTTAGTACATGTTTAATGGAAGAACAAACAGATGAATGGACAGAATTCTCTTCTTGGTGAACTAGAGTAATTCCTAAAAGAGCTAAGAAATTTATAATATTTATAATTTGAATCTCTATATTATTTAATATTTCGTATTTTTTCAATAAAACTGGACGACATTAAAACTTTCTTACATTGAAATCTCTCGCACTATTATGACTTATATTAATGATTAAAAAAACCCTGCAATTGCTACGCGTTATGCAGAATGTAATTCAGATGTACAAAAAATGCACTATTTACTATTTACTGATTATATGTATGTGTGTGTGTGTGTGTGTGTGTATCTCTTTTGCATTAAATATAATTCAAATTTATTTTTTCTGACAACCAAGCGATTTTAAAGATTAAATAAAAATAAAATCATTCTTTAAAGATTCCAAGTTATCAAAAAGCAAGTTTGCGGCATAAAAGTAATGAGGCTTGTTCATCCTCATATGCTTTGTCGTCCAGTACAATCAAGTACAATAAACTTTAAAATTACAAACATGGAATATCAAGATTCTTTGTTATAATATCAATTATAAATCTATTCGTAAATTTTTTATAGAGGCAAAGAGAGAATAAAATGTTAAGGATTTAGATTCCGTGCACACGAACAATTTTCTAGCGCGTGGTTATTTATTCATGAATGGAAAAACATATAATATTTCTTTATTAAATGAAATAAAGTATTGTATAAATATTAAAGAAAATTATTTAAAGAGATATACTATATAAATTATTACTTTCACTTTACATAGAGCTCCCAAATATATAATTTATGCTTTGTTTGCATTCGAGAATTATCCAGCGCAATATGAGTTCTCTCGATTTGATTTCGAAATCTATATATCCAAGTATAAGTATATATGCCGGCATCGAAGAAATGAAGCAAATATATTCGTGCACACGGTATTTTACAAGACAAGAAATAAAATAATTGCGAATAAGAGAAAGAAAACAGAGTAGAAGGGAATGGACGGGAGAGAAATATAACAGTCGCGGTGCGAGCGCTGGCTTATGTCGAAATGTTGTGATTGTCGTCAATTTATTGCTCTAAAACTTAAACAAAGATTTGCGAGCTGAGCCAGCGTCCTCACCGCCGCGAAAGGCGTCGCTATATATCTGAGAAATTCTATTAAGTTCCCATTTTTTCCTTTTAATTCTCGGGCCTAATGCTATTCTAGAGCCGACTGAAACCGGTATAATCTTGAGGGGTGAAATATTCCCATCCCGAGAACGATGTTTATTCTCAATCGCAACGATGCGAGCACAATTTCCATCCATTTTTCTTCTGTACATTTGGCATTTCGAAAATTAAACTCCGCAAGATCTAAAACCGGCTTCAATGCCGTTGCGTGTTATCGGGCATAAAACTAACGCTACTTTCTCCTTCATTCGTTATCCCGATATCTATACGCACGATATACCCGATCACACGCGCGCAAAATATGCCCTACACGATTCTACAACAATTTTATATATATAAGTATTCTCTCGCTTTTTAAATTCTCTTTTTATTCGATAATTATATATCGTCGACGATGGTATAACAGGTACGGATCGAAAAAGGCATTTCTTTTCAAGTACTCCAAAGGAGCGATAAAGGTAAGCGGGGTATTCTAAATGTCGCGCTTTTCTCTTCTCTTTCACGAAAGTGAAATCGATCTTTTACAATGCACGACCTTAAAATACTAACACTCAATAGTTAACATATTATATATTTTTTATCTCAATCAAAATTGGATTGGATATTTTTCAAGATTACGCTCTCCACAGTTAAAGGTGGATTTAAATATTTTTAGTAATTGTTTCTCCCATATTATTGTATGTGTATATTTAACATACGCAGCTCAATTTCTTCGAAATATTTCAGATGATCTCTTCATTTTTTAACTTTGACTTTTAATTAACTTTTCTGTCGAGTTTTATAACAAAAAAAAATAGTTATAAATTAAACTAGATTTTAACTCGAAAGAGAGATTTAAACTATTGAGCGCTAGTATATGTACAATTTTAAATAACAGAGAATATTTGAAAATAGAGAAAAGAGAGAGGTAAAGACAGAAAAGATACAATGATAACATATTCGCGCTTGATACATATTCCACAAGTATAATAGAATATAAAATAGGATTCCACAGAGAGAAGATCACAGAAATGTATCGATAAGTAAAAGGGCCCGATTAAGATGCAAGATGAAAGAAAGAAATCGTTGCGTGCACGATCGATATTGACTTATAAACAGTGTCTTTTTTTTTAGAATATGCGCGAATCCATAAGCGATAAGCGCCTCAAAAATTCTACACATATGTATATACATACATCTTATATCAATTCGAAAAAAAAATAATCATTATAGTAATAGTACGTTAATAGCGATAGACTGCATCTCTAACAACTAATTGGTGTTCGTACGTTGATCCCTTTTTACATTTTGGTATCGTTTATAGAATGTTCCTTTCGTTTTTTCTCTTTCTCTAAAATTATATCCTTTAATTTTTTCTCAATTTTGTTAAAGCTAACAGATTATCGATCCGCTTATAGCACCCATTTCGAGTGGAAACTATGAATCTTTGCACATGCATCCAACATGAGACAGTTAATCTTTGGCATTAAGGATTAAGAATTCATCAAAACTCGGTTACAAATTGGCACCGATTTCATATTTTCGATTAACCTCTATAAATAATCTTTCGCCATTTTTGCGTGATTCCGTATTATTATTCTTTTCTTTCGTGTATGAAAGATATATTTTCTGTAACGTCAGAAAATTTGTTGTAAATACATATGTGTATATACATAAAATTGACTGTCTCATATCGGACTGGGGGAGACATTAAATGTCATACAAGAAAAATAGATTTGCTCGTCTTAGGAGTAATCTCGGGCTGCTCCCTATCCGATTATGGTCCACTTGCCGAGTACAAGAACGCGAATAAAGCTACAAGTCTCGCGAGCAAGTATACGAGTGAGAAAAATAAGGATCTATTATCGATTGAGAACAGCTATATAGTTACGTATATATGTGTATAATTATGTGATAATTGTATCTTAGTAAGAGTAATTTCGAAGTATCGACAAGAAAAATACGACATTTGGCAAACACGTAATCGTCGACGTCGCATACGTCGCATACGTCGAATGAGAATATCACGAGCATTCTCGGAAAAAATGCCGCAAAAACGTCATCAAATTATCGACAATAGATCGATCTTGTTGTACCTCTTTCGCAGCAGTTCAGGACGGTTCAAGCCGTGGCGATCAATGCTGGAGGTCAGAGATCGCTCTCCATCTCATCCGTCACCAATTGAAAGTGCTTTTGACCTGATACAATATGCAAAATACTATTATACACATTCACGCATAATTTAAATATACTTAGAGTTAGATTTAAGATTATAAAGATCTCAGCTTATCAAACATTATTGTTGTCTTGACATTTAACATTTTTTGGACTCGGATACATATCTCGCACCTCGCACTTAAAATTTCGTATTAATGTAAATGTAAATTTACCAATCATTTTACGCAATAATAAACAAACCGTTGAATGGAATAATTCATAAAAGGAACACGTCAATTCATGAAATGACGTCTCGATAGTTTATTAAAATTATATTCAAATCGAAAAGAAAATAGTGAAAGAGGAAATGTATAACAAAAGTATTGTATCGCGTTAAATACGATAACAATAAGTTGATTGTTCGTGTTTCAATTGAGTGTTTATGTTTGAAAGTTAACTTACCACAATATGTGGCACAAGTATTTATATATACACTTCATTGTCATTGTGACGTCATTCGCGCGGCGAGTTTCGGACGGAAAGGTTGTGACGCGAGACGAATGCGTTGTCGTTTTATTTTCCCAGACGCATAAATATTGAGATAATGAAGGACTCAAAGTATATATTTCGTTTACACATTTTAAGAGTAAAAATGATGACAATGAAAATTATAGCTTATCTGTTTGAATCTTTACGGAACAATTGTTTCTTTAATAATGCTTCATACTTTGAATTCTTTTCTATGTAATTCGCAGATCAACATCGTATTCAAGTAAATATATTCAAGAGAAATATGTAATATTGTATCTGCTGTTATTAATATTTTCCGTGATTTTCGCAAAATGTGTGAAAAATATCGCGCATGCAATACTGACAATAAGGATTGATTTTGCATCTTTGGACGATGCATCGGATGTCTTAATGAGATTGAAATCTAGTAGTAAGGGTAAATCACAATATATTTTTAGATGTATATTTTTAATTATATTAAACTTATGCATAATTATATATTCATTTTTATTATTTATAAGATAATAAAGTTCATAATATTAATTTGATTAATAGAGATTACATTGCCATGATGCGTACATTTGTCCTCTAATATTACTTGGATTTATATAGAAATAGAATTTTTTAATCAAATTTTTTTTAATTTATTTAAAATGAATATTTAAAATTTTTTTGATAAAAATATGATGTTATTATTGAATATTAATTGGTTGAATATTAGTTGAAGATTAAATGAGAAATAATTGATAATTTGATTAATAGAGATTACATTACTATGACGCGTACATTTGTCCTCTAATATTACTTGGATTTATATAGAAATAGAATTTTTTAATCGAATTTTTCTTAATTTATTTAAAATAAATGTTTAAAAATTTTTTTGATAAAAATATGATATTATTATTGAATATTAATTAGTTGAATATTAGTTGAAGGATAAATGAGAAATAATTATATTTTGAAATTCAATTATTATCAATTATTCTTTAAATAGAATTGTATATTGTATATACATGTTTTATAACTTTGATATGTTTCTATTTTACAGATCAACATTGTTTATTGCAATTCTACTGTGCATCGTCCGGTGATTCTTAAATTATTTTTTATTTTAATCTCAAGGTATCGAATTTTAAATTGTCGATTTAAAAAAAAATTCAACGGAATAACGATTAAGAATCTTTTCATGATGTTAAATAAAGTTTTCTTGAGAATATCAAACATTTTTGCTACCAAGATAAATTAATTGTTACGAAAGGGACAATGTCCTTGCGATATGATTGAAAATAAGAAATGTTTTTTCGCGATGACTTACTTTGTAAATACGCTGCCAAATCATGATCTTCCGCGATCAGAGCGAGTTGATGCGGCGTATTGCCATGCCGATCTTTCACTATCAAAGATGCCCCGCCGGCTACGAGCATACAGCAAATAGAGCGACGTTTGTACTGAGCTGCTTTATGTAAAGCGGTTTGCCCTCTAAAATTAATAAAAATTAAAATAATTATCTCTCTTTTTCGAAATCAAGCGATAGTAAGATCAAGATGTAATTAAATTAGAATAGTATAATAGAGTATTAGGAAAGAGTATGAGAAAAATGCGAGAAATTTTAGCAGTGTCCATTTCCGCAGATAAAATTTAAAATTTTGTTAACGCGCGAAAAGTTGTATTTATTATAGCTTACTTGTCATTGTCAATCATATTCAAAATTGTCGGTGGAGCACAGGCAATAAGATATCTGACAATATCTTTATGACCATGCTTTGACGCCAAGTGAAGTGCCGTTTGGCCGGTTTCGTCAATCGATAAAAGCGAGTATCCCTTTTGATGAAGTTGCTTCAATGTCGGAAGATCCCCAATTTTCGCCGCTCTTAATATATCGTCACAGCTTTTCTCCAGCAATTCAGTATTGAATCCGTGAACTCCCGAGCTTAAACTGAACAATCTATCACGAGGGCTGCAAATTCAAATCGAGAGAGAGAGAGTTTTATTTATTTTTTTTTCTTTATATAAAATTACTTTTGTAATATTACGTAATAAATCAATATTTATTAACCAAGTAAAAAATAATTAAAGCGAATGGCCGAACAAGAGTTTAACGCATGTAACATATCGGTTTAGTTTCGCTCTCAGAATAAACTACAATATGTTGTCGAGTTATAATACGAAGGTGTATCTTTAAGAAGCATTCGTGTGGAAGAAAGCTTTACATTATCTAGTTGAAAAAGCCGATGATTTTCAGAGAAAGCTCCTTCCAGAAGCCATTTTATCTTTTAGTTAAAGTTTTACCTTTCAAACTTTATTTGATGTCGTATAAATATTTTTTTAGTCGCCCAATTATTTAGATAATTAGATATATTAAAATAATAATCCGCGTGTGATAATCTTACCTGATAAAAGTGAGGGGTCGGTCTTGCTGCTGCAATTGATCTGAGTGAGCAATTACGACACGAGAATTCTGTTTGAGAGATTCGCGATTTATAAGAGAATTAGACTCGATGTTTATGTCTTCGCTCGGCGATGGCACATCCAAGGAGTTTCGATTTGCTGGCTTTCTTGGCTTGACCGCGGCATTTTGATCATCGGATTCTTTATCGAAAGAAATACTCTCGGAAAGTTTGGCTTTCTCGACGATGGAAGATCGCCTTTGTTCCTGAACATCTTTAGATACGTTTGAAATTTCTTGCTCCTCTGTCACGGCTGGCATCTCCTTTAGACGTTCATCGCTATATCATATTCATATCATACGATTCAGAGGAAGAAGATAAGTATTAGATTTTGTACTAAAGAGTGCCCTTCGCCTACCTTGGCAAGTGGACTCGTGCAGTTTCCATTTCTTGACTAGCGATGATCTGACTCGGTCCAGTTTGGCCCTCGTGCTGTTGAACGGTGTCTTCATCGAGAACGTAGACAGCTTCTACTGCGACATCTGTCACGTAATGTAACTGTTCCTGGCCGCGATCAATTCTGAAAAATCTTTCCGTGGTGCATGCTAGAAAAAAATCAGTCAAATTTTTATGCATCTTAAGAATGGCGACTAGATTATAACTTGTAGATACACAATTCTTGCGAAACAACCCTTACAATCGAGAAAACAGCAAGAGTCCACATTATAATCTTTCGCCAAGAGCTTCCTCAAGGTCTCCAGATCGGTTGCGGCATCGAGATCAAGCGGTTCCGCCAACCACAATTCTGCCGCCTTCTTTAATCTCTCTTTGTCGTGATAATATGTTTCGTAATCCGACATCTTTATTTTCATCACGGGCAACTTTAGCCTCTCTAGTCTCGCTATATTTTGATTAGGTTTGCCCGCATTTCTCCTTTTCGTTAACATTGTAGCTTTGTTTAATACATTTAAAGTTATGATAGATGGTAGAAGACGACAGGCTTCGCCATCAACCTACAATATTATTAGACATATAGAATATATAAAAATAATATGATAATGTAAATAAAAATAAAAATAATGTGATAATTATTAAAACAAATTTCGCATAAAAATAAATTTAAATAATGTGATAATGTAAATAATAATAAAAATAATGTGATAATTATTAAAAAAATTTCGCAAAAATAAATTTATTAATTATTTTAATATTTTTCTAAATTAATTACTATTAAGATTAGAGAAAACAAATAAAATTAAATTTTTAAAGGAAACAACTTGTAATTAAGAAATCGATAAACAAGAAAATCTATATTTACGTAGTAATAAAGAGAGGTAATTCTCAGATATTGCGACACAGTAAAATTGTTATAAAAGTAATACAAATATTTAAACGATGTAAAAGATTATGCTTGCCTGCATTGGAATAGTTTTCGTTGTAACCAACTTGGCTGTGCTGCATTGTACTATACAAGTGCCATGTCCGCGTGCTTGTAAAAGGGGCAACTGGTACGTGGTTAAGCCGACTACTTCAATCAAACCATCGTCCATGGCGGGCTCTCTAGTGCCGCTACTCGCACTCCACGGATGCGTTCCACCGCCATAAGAGGCAATGTTCAAGAATAATATAGCATGAACTCGATGCTCCTTCAATTTCGGCGTCATATCCTGACCGTCGCATTCCAATGTCACAAAATCTGAGAGGTCCTTCCATTTTGTGAGTAATAAATCCTTGCAACCCATTTGTCCGTAAAACAATTTGTTCCTCATTCTGGAGTTGAACTTCTCTGGATGAGCCTCTATAAACGATTGCAGCGAATATCATAAACAGAGTTCTATGAAGTACAAACTATTTTTTTACTGAAGAAAAGAAAATTCTGAAAATTAATACACACAACTAATTTGCCATAAGTAAAGAAATAAAATTATTAACCATTTCTATTCTAAATTAAAGTCTAAAATTAGTACTAAGTCTAAATTAAAATTTATTTCTAAATTAAAGTTATAATACAATTGGCTTTTAATCAAGAGAGTAAGAATTATAAGACTCTCACCTCGGGCTTCGTGAAACTCGAGAGCAATATGAGCATCGACGCCGAGGGAAAAGTAATTGTTAACAACATTAAGCGGCAAATTCTCCTTGCCCTTGCCGCCATCGTCATCATTCTTGGCATCGCAGTTTCTCTCGACCTTTAATTGCCACCTGTCAAGTAGAGTAGTTTCGCTGTCACCTATACTCGTCAAAATCTTTCCGATCGGTTCATCCTTGTAACCGCCTCCCCATCCTAGAGCTCTTGCCAGGTCGTTTCCGGTGCCTAGGGGAAGCACTCCGACTGCCGGAGCTGGATACGCACCGATTTGATCCAGGATCGATAGAACCCAACCGACCGTACCGTCGCCTCCGCAAGCCAAAACACGTAAATTAGGAACTTTTTTAAAGAGTTCCAGTCTGCAAAAACAGTTTTCTCAATCGGCTATCTTCTTATATCTTTCCATCTTACTCTTTACCAATTAGAATTGTTTACACGCATTTTATCGCGAATATTTTGTACTTAAAAATTATTCGATAAAATAATTTACTCACCCCATTTTCGGACCACCTTGTGTCAAATCGAAAACTTGCCTCGGATTGAGCAACCATTGGAACTTTTGCAACAACTTGGAGCCCTGATTGCCGCCGGATTTCGGATTAATGAAGACTAAAACGGGCTTTACCGTAGTCGTAGGAATGGGTTTAACGATCCACAGCTCTCCTTGATCTTTCTCTTTCTCCTTCTCTTTTTCTTTCTCCTCTTTCTCTTTATCCTTGTTTTTCCGACGTCCGGAAGATCCGCTACCGCCGCTAGATTTTTTCTTCCTGGGTGATCGTCTAAGGCTGCTCTTGAAGCTCCCCTTTCGCGGGAGCTTTACGATCCATGACGGCGGCACTATGATCGAGGCGTGAGTGCCCAATTCGCAATTTTCACCTATCTTGTGAACGTTGAAACACGCTTCCTTGTTGTGATAAGCGGTCTTGCACCAGCTGCAACTCACTGCCACGATCTCTCTCGAGCTGAAGCTGAGCTTCGATTGGAAAGATTTGCTGCAATTGGCACATTTACCCTTCTGATATCGTCGATGCACCCAGTGATGATGAGTTGTCGTTTGTTCGCGATACTGACGCACACCCACATCGCGAAAGCTTGGCTTGCAAGCGAACTCTAAACTTGCGACGCAGCAGGCGTGGGCCACTACACGACAAGCGGGACACTTCAACCGGGGTCCGTGTTTCTAAAGAAAGAAAACCACATATAAAATCGATTTGTCAGAGGCTCGAATATATTTTTGTTCTTAAAAGTATTGGCGAATTTGATTGAAGTAACTAAGTAATTAAAATAGTAAGATAATTTTTATATTGAATAACGACAAGAAACTTCAATATTAATTATGTCTTATCATTGCTTTAATTACTTATCATAAATTAGTGTACAATGATCTTTAGCGTGCACTAGTACATCCAATCGAATTCATGATATGCTTTATTTGTATCTTTGAAACTTACGGAACATTCATTGATGTAACAAAAGTCACCGGATGTAGCGGTTGGCACCCAAATATGTTCCCCGTTAAATGCATTTGGACCCCAATCTGGTGTAGATCGAGGCTCACGTTGACCACTCGAGCCCCCTTCTCTGTCTTCTCCAGTTTCTTCTCTCCCTCTAGAATCATCAAATAATCGTAGAACTTCTTGCAGATAATTTAATTTTCTTGCGTCAGTAAAATATGTATAAAATGTTTCAAATTAAAAGATAAAAATATAACGGAGAAGGAAAGATAATTTGATTTGTTTTTCATCTTACACGCGCATATTCATATTCAGTAATATTCGCGCATATTATATATTCAGTAATATAACAATATACAACGATACGATAATAGATTGTTGTAAAATATCTTAGTGGAGGTTTACATTTAATTATAAAATTTACTTGTATATAGAAATATGATATAAAACTAAAGGGCGAACATGTGCGACACATTCTTGTATATATATAATTAAAATTCTTCATGCTCGAGGGTTTGACAAGAGCGAGAGAAAAAATATCGTTTCTTTGAAGAGCACATAAAAATGTTATCAAGGATTTAAGCTATTTTCCATATATTTCAAATTTAGTTTCGCACTGGTAAAGAGAAAATACTTAAAATTCTAATAAAATTTTAATAATTACAGCCGCTCTTAGTGGCTCTCTTTAAGATAAAATATTCTGCTACGCATAAATAATGAGTAAAGAATATGTGATAATAATCGCGCACAATATTTTTGAATCCACTTATATTCTTTTGAGCGGTATCTTTTAAATATTTCAATTTCGCATTTATCACTAATGATAATGTGAGTATATTTTCTTCTAATACATAAACGTACAAATGATTTCAGAGGCACTCAGTATACTGTCCTAGTTTATGGAAATACTCCGAGTAATAATTTATATGTAGTGCTCTCTCTTTCTTTCTCTTTTTAAGTGGAATCATAAATAGAGGAAAAAGAAATCATGATAGTGCGATACTAAAAAATTTTTATATTTTCTATATATTTCTTTGTCTTTTTATAGTATCATACAATTAATTTCAAAATTATTTATAATAAAAGAAAAACAACAAATAAAATAAAATGTTCATAATTTAAGGTATAGAAAGTATATATAAATCCGTTCTTAGACTTATCCGAGAACTCATGAAAGCTCTAATTGTAAGATTGAAAATCGTTATGAGAAAAAATTTAATATTTAAAAATATTTAAAAATGTAATATTTAAATTAAAAATTATATTTTATCATAATTAATATATATAATAATATAAAATAATATATAATAATTGTATAAAAATTGTACAATAAATTAAAAAAAGATATGTGAAAAGAAGATAAAAAAAGGTAAAAATATAAGATATCTATTACGTTTTTGTAATCTATAAAATTAGGGAAATTTGATTTTATAGATAAATTATTTTTATCTATGCATTTTAATACACTTTTGTAAATTTATGTATTCATAATTAAAAAAAAAACGAAATTGATGCCAAATTGCCTTGTCCTAACTTTCTGTCTTATTTTATACTTCTACCATCTTTTTTGACAATGATAATATAATTAAAATCAATGATAATATAATTAAAATCTAGACTAAATCTAGTATTCATGGTCGTTTTATAAATATGTGAAAAGAAAAGTAAAAGTAATATTATTAAGAAAAAATCGACTCGTATATTAATAGCTTAATCAAATTATTCAGAGTGGGAAAGATATGGATCGAAAAGGAATAGCCAAGATCGTTCTTTTAAGGCTATTTTTACACGCATATCAGATTAAATGATAAATGAACTCTAGATTCTAAAACTGTACTATAAATGGAGACGCAATGAAAAAGATTAATGCGTATATTAAAGCGATATTGGATCGCATCGCGTGATATTTAGAGCAGGAGGCAGCGTCCATCTAATTAGACGTACCCACCCTATCGGAAGTCGCGATTCCTTTCCGGGCAGCAACGCCGTATACCTCGTACGAGCGTCCGTCGGTAGTACGATGTCGACGCTCTTTGATCTGATACTCTGCTGCGGTACCGCCAACGAGTCCGTATCGTTGGCGCCTCCATTTTTATTATTATTGAAACACGAGTCGACGGAAGCGGCGCGATCCCGCTTCAGGTCTGGTACGGTCAAAAATATGTCGCGCACAACGAGCTTGGACTTGCTCGCCTCGATATCTTCATCGTCGTCGTCGTCGTCGTCCGCCTCAATGGTCGTTCTAATCGTTGTCTCCACCGGCACAGGGGGTGGCTCCAGGGGAAAGGTGGTGAGAGCCTCCTGCCTGGATAGCTTCGGCGAGGCGAGCGATCGTCTGCGCTGCCTGAGCTCCGAAAACTCTACCACCTTGATCTCGGAATCCAATTCGGGCACGATCTCGACTATGGGCGAGACGCATCGTGGGTCACCTGGTGGCTCGTCGGGCGTGAGGATAACTCTGATTTCCGGGCTACCGTCTCGCTTAGACTCGTCCTCATGATCCGACTCGTTCTCGGAGAAATCCGAAGTGCCGCTGTCGGCTTCGTGGAGCCCCTCGGCTTCAGCCTCTTCTCTAGCAAAGTCCTCGGCCAGCCAGAGGCTCCTGTATTCCTCGACGCAGGCACAATGGTAACATCCGGAGACTTGGATGATCGGCGTTTCCGGTCGTTCGATCCCGTACAGCAACTGTTGGCCGGCGAACGACCCGGGGCTTCCGGAATACGCGTCGAAGCTCTTGGATCGTTGGCCGGTTTGCAGCTGGGGTACCTTGAGGGTGGACGAGCCTCTTCTGCCGCGAGTCGAATCCTGCGATCTTGCGGAGGAACACGTGGAGGACGATGAGGAATTCGTACGATCGTCTCGCTTCGTTTGCAACTGTATCTCGTCGAAGGAGGCCGATCTGATTTGCTTGGGCACCTCGAGGCTAGATTGAGACTTCATTTCCGCTCCCGTGGGAGTACGCGACCTCTTGAAGGTTGAGCGCAATCTCTGCATTCTCTAGCCTGATAGCTACCTGGCGACGCTGTTGTCCACGTTATTGGACATTCCGCTATTATCTCTTAACGGAAACGATCTTTCGAATAAAATGGCACGATCGCTCGCGTTGTTCCCCCCTTCGCCTTCCTCCTCGTCGTCGAGATCGGATTCGCGATGGCCACCACGCTCGTTTCCTTGTTCTTGAACCGTCTTCTTGCACCTTAGAAAGAATAATGGCAACGACGACGGCGATGCGACCGTCTCTTTATTTAGAAGAAACTTAGCTGCCGATTTGCAGCCCATCCTAAGTCCTTACCGTTAATGAGATTACAAGAGATGCTGCTAGAGTTCTCGAAGGTCCTTTAAAATTGTTCGAATAGATCTCAATCGGATTACAATGCAAAGATAAATAGTATCAGGGATCACAAGAGATATTCGTTAAAGTCGGGAAAAAGACACAATTTCGTTTCAAGTACGAAGAATTAGTTTATTTTAAAGCAATTTCAGAATGCGTTCATGCGCAACATCGATACAAATTTCGTAGAAACGTGCGGCTATTGTCAATCTTGACATTCGTTGCTGATCGATATCGATCTGAAGGAATCACACTGCTTTCGATTACGAGATTATTTCCAAATTACATCGTTCAATTAAATTCGCTCGAGCCGGTCAGTTTCCGTTGAAGCTTTACTACGGCTTTATTCGGCCGATCAAAATATTCGAGTGCGTCGACCAGCGGGTGCACGAATAAAAGGTCAAACGTACAGCGAGAACGGCCTCGGCAAAACTTGACGGTATTATGACGAGGTGGATAAACTTTTATCCCATCATTGTTCCCGTTCTCTCTCTCTATGTTTTTTCACTGTCATACCTACTCTCAATGGCTCAACACTCAATCACTTTCTCTCTCTCTCTCTCTCTCTCTCTCTCTCTCTCTCTCTCTTTCTCTCTCTGCCTTTCTCCTTTTCTCTCCTCACTACCGCCCTCACGGCACGGCTCTCACCTCTCGAGTGACTAGCATCATCGATCGAGTTTTTCAGCACCGGAATTTATTTTGACGATGATAGCGTGATAGAGATTCCGTTGTCGATAGCTGATAGAGAATCATAAGCATCACTGAGGAGGCACGAGGCGACACCGAGAGCTTCGGTGATTTCACCATCAAAGATCGATCGATCCTCGTGTTACATTAAATATTTCAATCGTCAGTATCTTGGAGGTTTGACGACTCGCGACGTCATCAAATGCTCCTCCTTAAAGATATCGACGATTAATAAAGCGTGATAACGAAGGTCAAAACTCTTTGGATTTTTCCAGGACGATGTTGTTAGCTGATGCAAAAGATATATTGAAATTTCGGAAATTAGATCGAGCTACGTTTTATAAAACGAATATTCCGCTCAAGAGGCTCGATAGGTCGCTCTCGACCTTCGCCACGTCGGTCGATCCATACGCTCGATCAATGATAGAACATATTTCACCGAGAAGCTCGCGCATCACTGCATCACTCTCATCGTGCTCAAGAACCGTCTCTTCCTTTCCCTGTCTCTCGGTCTCCAACAAATGCGATATATCAATCCTTACCAATAGGGACATTACAGAAGCGTCTGTAATATACCGCATGCGAAATGCCGAAAGCCTTGTCGTGCGAGGGGCGAATTCATCCGCAGATTCTCTTTGTCCCTCTTTTGGGATTCTCCTTTGGGATCATCCGAGGTCTCTCGAAATCTCTCTCGATACGTCGCCAGTCGCGAGCAAACCGATAACCTTAGCGAGGCAACACGGCGTGGCGAGAGTGCCGGTCGGACTAACGGCCAGGGCTCGTCGATGACCGATGTTGAAAGGGGTGAGAAGCGCGCCGGGGGTTGTTTCGTGCGCCTCCTCCTGCTCATGCGCCTTCCGAAACGGCGGATCACCTCTCGCTAAGTATTATGATCATGCGCGCGATAATGATAAGCATACGGCCAGGAATCGGAGTTTGCACAAAATAGGCGAGCAACGAAATGTCGATAATTATCGAGTAAATAATTCCTATTGTTCGAATATTTGGTGAATTTTTGCTTGAATTTTTTTTCGAACATTGGGACTTTCATTAGAGTGTAATTTAAACTTTTCCCAAGTGCTCAAGCTTTTTTTCATCTAGATTCTTATTAATTTACGCAGTAGAACTTGTCTTGTTAGGCAGTAAACTGTCTTTGACATTCTTCATTTTCTTAGATATTAGATAATCATTTCGCTAACACCTGCTTAAATTCTCATAATGCTTAAAAAACTAAGCTTCTCGCGAGACGAAGGGCTCAGGGAAATTGCAATAATAATTGTTTGGCATAAGATCTTGACAGTCTCCCATAAACCTTTAATAACACAAATGTGCGATGTAGGTTGCAAATTAAAAGTATTGCTAATAATAATCCAATGTCATTAGATCAAAAAGATATCTTTTAATATCGACGTCAAATGTATCATTGAGAAAAAAAGCCGCGATGCTTTTTTATATAAATTGTTTTTAGAACAGTTGATTCAGCAAATTTACTTTTTCATTGGAGAAAAATATTATATTTTCAAAAGTTTTTTAAGAAAGATAATCATTCTTCAAGTTCATAGTTAGCTGCTGACCTTTTTTCTGAATCGGACAGTATCGGAGGGTCTTCGCGACATCTTAAGTTCGTGCCCTCCGCGAAATGCACCCGTCGTCCTAGCTTCGGGCCCAACTCGAGCAACCTACAATGCACACGACAAAAGCCCAGATGGTGGTGTACAATCAATGATGTACATGAAGAGCATAATGTTTTATCTTTTTTCTCTTCTTCGTTTTCCCTTCGTCTCGCGCATTCCCTCTAGAGAATCGATCTGCCTAGCAAAGATTGATGAGTTCAAAGGAATCAAAATTTGCAATCAAAATTTTTTTTAAATAATTTATTATATTGTATAATTTATTAATTAATTATAATTAATTAATTATAATTATATATAATTTATTAATTATTAATTATTATTTGAGTTGTCTCTCTGGCACGTCATTTGTAAGTAATTATATGTAAATGATACGTTATATAATAAGTAGATGGTAATGCTTAAATAGAGCTCAGACATGCAGATTCGAATTGTTGGAACATTGAAGTTTTACGAACAGAACCTATCAAGGTATTTTGAAATGCGATATAAGCGCCATTAGAAATCATTCCATATGTCATAAAATATAAATTAATCTCTTTTATTTTTTAAACTAAAAAAGTAGATGAAAATTAATGAATAAAATTTAACCTCGTAAAAAATATTGCTTTTAATAAAAAATGTTTTAGAGAGAATTTTAGATATAAATGTAAAATTTAAATTATTATAAATATAAAATTTAAAAAAGCATAATTTTTACAAAATGATAACAAAATAGCTTCAGAAAATATCGCGCAAATAATATCATTTGCGATGTTATTTGCAGAGAAACGCGATTATTGTAGATTAATTATCAGAAAATGGATCCATATGGATCCAAAACTCACGTGAATTTTATCACAATTAATTCCTCGGTTGATTTATTTGTCAATTCCGATTTCAAGCAACATTTCGAGCACTTCAGCCAGTCGACGCTCATCTCCAGTCGATTTCCTCGAAGAACGTCGACACACAACTGGTATGAGAAAAAAAAACCGCAAAAACAATTGCGACAAACGATTGTTACACCAGTTGAGCTCTTGTACCCGCTAATGTTTCGCAACTGTACGAATTATGTCATCTTCCCACGTAATAACACTTGTTTACCATTTTTCCAGCAATAAGCATGTCTCCCACGCATTCTCATATCCTGCTACTCGACTGCCATGTCACTTGTATTCTCATTTCTGATTGAATCACACGCGCACTCAGCGTTCGAATAGTATCTATTACATTAATTTCTAATTACGTCACATTTACGTTCACAACGGAAATATTTGTTTCAAGGATTTCATCGAGGTCCCAATTAAACAAGAGCGTGATATTGTCAATTTGACACGTGTAATGTTGGCGATACGGTTACGTACTTAAAAAAAATCTCTTGAAATTTTTCGAAAGAAAAAATTAGCAGAAAACTTTTATTGCTAAGATTATCAAGATGATGACAAGGTTACACGAAAAGTTGTTCCACTCAATTTTTTTTATCACGATATATCTATTAATTTTATCTCTGTTAATTTTCTTCCTTTTCCTTCTCTCTCTCTCTCTCTCTCAATATCAAATGTTACAATATGTTTTAACTTTATATATTACAAAGAAATGATCAAACATTTTCTTGCTTGCACTTTATTTCAACTTTTCTTTGAGTCATCGTCTTCTTTAAATATTTATTCAGGTTTAATCACTGTCAGGTTTAATCACATTCAAAATAATAATTTTAATAATATAAACTTTGTCATGTACACGGAAACTAAATTTTATGCACAATTCAAAATATGTGTCTGCAACGAAACAATTGCAAGACAGATTGCGAAGTAACTTTATAAGTCCCGTCTCTTTCGTTTCTTTCGTGCCTTGTCATATTTGTCCTTCTACAGCGATGAGAGTGAGAGCAAAAACTACAGTTTCGTTTACGAGCACACGTACGCATATGCATTTATTAACTGCGAATTAAAGTCGGGATCGCGAGAACTCGAATATAACTGCGATTATAAACCAATAAGCTTTATCCTCGCATTTAAACTTTGATCAGTCAATTATTTCTTTAGAAAAATATTGTTGGAACCAACATTAAATGACACTGTATCACTGAAATGAGTCCGACCAACCGGTTTCTCGAAAGTCTTCACGAAAACTTGTTGCAACGAAATATTACAGAAGGAGGATCTCTAAATTGCCTTAAAAACCCGTTTCTCTTGTAGGGCTGTACTTTCTACACTTGTGCCTTTTTACGCTCCTTGTAGGTATATTTGAAACAAAATAATTGCAGCTAATAGTGAATTTTTTAAAATTACTAAGAAAGAATATGGCTTTAAATCGTCTATAAATTGATCTATCGTCTTTAAATTGATAAAAAAAGTATATTTTTAGAGAAATATTTATAGAACTATGAAAAATATAATTGCTATATAACGGTTCATATTAAATTATATCCTTTTTTGTACGATGTGCTAATAAATTTATAAAATTCGACAATATTTTTGCGACGAAGTAAAAAGTTTTTACGCATAAAAGATAGGCTAAATCATGAAATATTTTTTATTCTCACCCTTCTTCGATCGTATCATCCTCTTCGTATTCCTCCGCCTTCTGTTCATTATCCTCCGTCATATCTTATGTTTCAAATTCTCACAAGTTGGATAAACTTATTTACGAAAATTCGGAAATTAGAAAAATCGGTGGGATACTTTTTCAGCATAATTTCTGTCAGCAAAATGACACGAGCGATAGAGAAACATTACTCGATTCATGATGATTCTTGCGATGCTATCATTCGACTTCTCTTCATGACTGACTTATGCGAAACAACGCGGAATTTCGTCGAGTTTATTACGGCTTCCGAAGACTTGAAAAGTCGTAATTCCATTTTCCATATTGCCGTAATGGCATTATAGCTTATCTATATGCACGTATATCTAAATTATACGTAGTAATGTATAAAGAAAAATGATGACATAAAGTATCAACATTGGAATTTTTATATCAAATATATACATATATTTTGCATCTCATTATTATACCGAATTAATTAAATTTCTTTTTATATTGGATAGAGCAGTTTTAATAATTTGAACATCATCAATTAATTATGATTTGATCAAGTATTTTTTTGCTCGCAATTTTTATTTATTGAGACTACATCACGAGTTTTTGCTCACTTGCTAGTTTTGTTGTTATTGCTGCCACGATTTATTTTTATCTACTTAGCGTTTGAAAATCGATCGGATCAAGTCTGTTCGTGTATACGTCAGGGTTTACGATTCTTTTATCGTGCGTTTTATCGTGGGTTCGATCGAGATATATCGATTTTTATCCCATTATTCCGGAGGAAGGAAGTTGATTGTCGCTACGTACCTCATTGAAAAGGCGGCGAGCCGTACCGTGGTCAGCACGCCGGCGTTTCTCCGTCTCCTGCCTTCGTCATGGTCACCCCGGAGATAGGATCGCGATCGTTTTTTCCACCGCTACGCGATTCAACTTCGCGGCAAACGATACGTTCTCGCGAAAACGCGACCGTTAGTTACAAACATTTGCATGTCGCGAAACAACACACCAATACGAGCAGACAGCAATCGACGACCGACACTCGCTCGTCTGTGACCATCTCAGGTGAACGAGCTCGAGTGCCAGACACTCGCGTTAACTCGCGCTTGCATTTTAGCAAGTTGAACCGACACTGTTGAATCAACTTCTGTCAGGTCCGATGTCGATACTCGAACTCGCCGGATGCTTATCGATTCATTCTTGGGTGATGATCAAGACCGAGAGTCCTCCGAAATGGATACTTACTTTACCGAGATATACTCGATTGTTCAAAACGTTGCTGCAGATCCGTTGAGTAATTGCGATCGCTTCAGGTAAACTGGATGAAACTGCATTCCATTTGGAACGGATGATCGACGGTACTATACATCGATACTTGGCGCAATAATTTATTCTCGTTTAATGTTCTCTGCCAAAATGAAAGATGAACTTTAGACGAAACGCCGAGTTTTCGATTATCCGTTTATTTCGATCGATCGCAACGGGATCGCTTCAAAAGACCGTTGCATGGTCCGAAGAAAAAAAATCTCTCTCTCATAATCTATTGTTCAGTTCTTATTACACACAGGTACTTGATGAGAACTCCCATCAACTCGTAATTATAATGTATTTCGCGACACGCAACGTTGAGTTCGAAGGTCAACCGCCTCGTTATTTCAACCGGTTCGCGAATGAAGTTTCCAGAGACAACATCGGCAAGCCTAGACAGACATTTTCGGCGTTACACGCATAACTCTCGCACACACGCGAAGGCAAACGGTTCCTCCAGACAAGGAGGATCGAAATCGCGACCGAGAGAGCGCGCGAAATCCGGAGGAATACACGGAGGACTTGGTGGCTTACCATTATAAATAGTTGCGTCCGAGACGACTAGAGGCTCGCCACCAAGTAACTCGGATGGAGAAAAGAGGGAGGGCGACAACGAGCCGGCGGATGAAGGAAGAGAACGGATCAAGCCGGAGGGAAATAGCGATACGTCAGTGTCAGCGATGGACTCGAGCGACTATCGGCTTGAGCGATTTCACCTGAGAAATTGGTCGCGTTTACTGCTGCTTGGCGTGGGCGGTGGATCTAAACTTGGAATTGAACTTTAAGACGAGTCCGTTCAAAATTGAAAGACGATTACAAAACACGTGTCGTACAATATTCGTCAAACAATTTCATCTTTCCGCTTGCTATTTTTAACTCTCTCGTAAAAGGATCATTTCTTCTCCTTGAAGAGCATACGTTGCCTCGCGATCACCCCTAGGCCAAGAATGGGTCTTTGAAATAATGAAACATGTCTTTGTCGCGCGACACATTTGATCGGACGAGTGAACAATTAATCGCCAACAGGACAGGCGGATCGACTCTGTCGCTAATCACGTCACTCGTCTCGTGCCATCGTACTATTGTTCCCATCCGCGAACCTGCTTGCAATTCTAAACGCGGTGGATTGTCTTGGGTTCGTTCCTGTCAACTCGCAGGCACAATCTCGCATTTTGCAATCATCGAGCAGCGAGTCTTCGCTCTCGAAAATCTATTTCCGAGGGCGATTTTTTTCTGGCACTGTATCCTAGCTCTTTTGCGTGTCGCTATGCTATTTTCGAGAAATTATTCTTACATTTACACGAAATTCGCGTAATGTTTATATTTTTTTATTTAATTCTAATTTTTTTTATTAATTTTTATTATCATATTAATAAACTCTTTTATTCTAATCTATATTTATATTAATTTTAATAATATTTTTCTATTCAATTGAATCTAAACTCTTTTATATTTCAACTAAAATTCCTTTAATAAAAATCTCTATAATATTATTCTTTAGATTCTTTAATTATAGTTTTTTATTTAAATTAAGATTTTAAGTTATTTTTAAATTTTAAACCTTCAAAGTTTAATATATAATTTATTTATAAATCTTATCTATACATATGTTTTAATTTAACTCCAACGTTCTACGCTTTTCTGAAAATAATAAATCAAATTTCGTTCTACTCCAAACTCAACCTTGAAGAGAAATTTTGGTAAACTTTTGTTGAAACTTTTTTTAAATCTAAATTTTAAATTATTATTAAAATTATCCAATGTTACAATTGTTATAATTGTTAGCGAAATAATTATTGTGTAATGTTAAAAATTTGTTATCAATGAAATTATACATACGAATAATCCAATGAAAATTACATGATCAATATATTTATTACAATACCAGTGAAATATTGTTGCACTTTTTTTTAACCGACACCGCAAGCGAATCAGCACTTCCGTATACTCAAGGACGATACGTTAAGTTAACGATAAAACATATCGCGAAAACAATGTATGGCATAATGTACAGAAGATGATTCATTTTTAATTTCAGGGTCAAGCGTCTTGGAACCTATTAAAGGTGAACAAAAACAATGTCAGTATTTCTTTCTTAAATGGCTACTTTGCTATACTATATGTCTTTTCTTTTTTTCAAAATCATAGAGTAATCGAAATGATCAAGATGATATTATATATATGTACAAGATGTTTCTTAATAAGTGCGAAAAATTTTACGAGATGATGATTCTTTGTCGAAAATTAAGGGGGTTTTTCATATAAAAATTAAAAAGTTCTAGTAAAAAATTGAATACGGGTTGCTAGTTTCATCCTCTTATAACAATACGGGAGGCTAAAAAAAATATTATTAAATAACCTTTTTACTAGTAGAAAATATCCACTTAATTTCACCTTTCTTTAACTTGTTCCAAATTTTAGAAAAAATAAAAACTGTAAGATATAGGAATATATATTTATGTGAAAAACTCCCCTTAATTTTCGATAAAAAATTATCTCGTAAAATTTTTCGCACTTATTAAGAAATACCCTTATGTACTATATTTTGTGGGCGAAATTTTGTATTTTTGCGACAAATTTTATATGATAAACCGTTTTATTTCATAATTTGTGTTTTTGTGTTTGTACAATATAATAATAGTAATAATAATAGTAATAGTAATAGAAGTAGTAGTAGTAGCAATTACAATAGAAGTAGTAGTAGAATAGTAGTAGTAGTAGCCATAGTGGTAAAAATGACAGTGATATTAACGGTAGTAGGATGATGAAATCTACCATAAGAATAACATTCTGTTAAATTCGTCTCGTTTAAAAATTCGTATCGTATAAATCATGAAGAAGCTTGATGTAACGTAAGGTAAAGATAGAGACGAGAGATTTCGGAAATAGATGGAAGACGCCGATGGATTTTACATTTTTACTGTCGCCACTGACTACGTTCGATGGTTCGAAGAAATGTTAACGTGAGACTGTGCGATGAGCATTTTGAAAATTTCCAAAATATGCTTTTTAATATTTTAACGTGTGCCGAAACGATCAAAAGTTTTATTCCTCTTCTTCCTCTTCCTCTTCTTCCTCCTCTTCCTCCTCCTCCTCCTCCTCCTCTTCTTCCTCTTCCTCCTCCTCTTCCTCTTCAACCTCTTCCTTCTCACCGGCCTCTTCTTCCTCTTCCTCCTCAAACTGCGGTTCCTCAAGATCGTCCTCGGCGGCAGCCTTTACATCCTCCTCGCCCTCTGGTGACTCGGGATCACCAGGCTTTTTGCCCGGTCGCTCGCCGAACCACTTAGGTAACTTCGCTATTATTCAAGGAAAGTAACGGATGAATTTTTTATTGAAATTGCGATTAAGAGAAGAATATTAAATTTACTAATGCTTGAACAGAGAATAAAAGTAAGCAACGGTTAAATTAGATGCCTGTGTCTACAAAATATCTTGAACCGTATAAAGAAAGGATTCGTTAGCGATAAAAATATTTGAGAAGAAAATAAATTCCAAATCGAGATTTTTGGATAATTGGAGAATTTTTTACAAAAATATAAAGTTAATTATATACTTATATCAGAGGAAAATATATGCGCGTGTGTATCTCGGCGCTTCGAGAAATACCGGAGGCACTTTGAAAACTCTTGGTCTCCGACTCGAAGCCTCGAAAGCGGAAATTATACATACTCTTCTGACGACCCATGAACTGTTCCTTCTGTTGAGCCCATTGTTTCTCTAAGAATTCCTTTTGCTGCTCGTTCAGACCCTGAAACATCAATGGACAGAATGGCATGCTAGGAGTTATTCTCACACATCGGGAACTTTTGTCTGGGAAAACCCTTCCTTCGTACTGTCGTTTTCCTGGATTATAAAGATCTCTCCAGAAGATTGAAAGCTGAGGGATCACGATTTGAAAGAATTAATGTTACAAAGTTTCATTATCCTCCAACGGATTACGATCTTCGACGCTCGCTGCTAACGCTCGAAGATAAATTTTTGGATTTCGCGCGAAAATGAGAATCACAAAAATTTCATCCTTATCGAGAGGGAATATCGAAGATTGCGTATCGCATCTCTGTAAAGTGAACAAGATCACAGACGTCGACAACGTTATTACAATGAGATTATTTTCGTGATTGGCGAGTGCGCCGTCGCATCTCTCCCATGCTGGCAGTGCACGGAAAAAATCGCTGTGAGCACAAATACGGTATATCGTGCTTTTACGTACATCATTGAAACAACACGAACACAACAATAATTTGGCTGGTGGCTATCTCGACCGTTTAGTCAATGTGGAACAAGAAAAGAAAAATTAGAGACATAATCGTTGATGAAATTCTGGGAGTGCAATCAACAAGACAAGCAAAGGTGGGTGATACAGTGATAGAGAGATCACGGTTGGACTCACTTTTGGATCGCTTCATAAATTGTTCCGATCTCTGTTTCCATACTTTCTCGCTGGTCTCCGCTAAGAGCGTGTCTAAGCCCTGTGATTCAATCGACATATGCTCACTAGTCGCTATTTTTATACTTTCATTACGTTTGATAAGCAATTTTTATGTGGTACAGCGGGAAAAGAGTTTTGATATTTTTATGTATGATACATTTTTATGTGGCAATCTTTTTTTAGCAATGATATTTTATGTAAGAATTGACTCGAATAAAAATGTCGTGAAATGAAAATTTTGTCGGTTAAATTTTGTCGTGTAGTAAAAAGAGTATGTGAATGAAATGAACAAAGAATATACTTACACCTTCGAAGAGTTTCTTCTTATCATCGTAGGACCTGGTATCGACGCGACGTTCGTATTTTGAGGCGACCTGAATCTTCGGCTGTGAAAAAGATAAAAATTAATGTCGATTTCGTTTTTCCTTTTTTTTCTATATGATAATAAACGTTGCGTACGGGATATTTGCCAGTTAAAGCCTCGGGATCGAGACCCTTCTTCAAGGCTTTGTGCCTCAGTTGTTGCTTCTGACGTTCCTTCAGCTCTTTAAGCTACGATAAAAGGGCAATATCGATTTATTACTGTAGCACGAAAACAACATGAACTATAATTAAACTCTTGTCCGAGCAACTTATTTCCCAAGTGGAATGTCAATATATTTCATTTATTTTTTATTTTCTTAATTAAACTGCAATATATAAAAATATTATACGTATATAAATAAAATATATTTTTACATAATTTTTTATACGATTAAATTTAGTTCTCTTTGCGTATAAAATTAAAATTACATAAATATTTCTTACATAATAAGCAAAGCATTTTTCTTTAGAAAATAATATTGACTAAAATTTTGTTAAGGATTTGGCAAATCTTTTTGTTCAGACAAGAATAAAACAGTACTTTCGTGATCGAATAAATAAAATTAAAACTCACATCGTAATCCTGACGCTTTTGTCGCTCTTCCAGATCGTACTTTTCGGTTTCAAGCTTGACTATACTCTCCCACAATTCGGTAGCTTTAACACGAAGCTTGTCAATAGACAAATTCTCAATCTCCAACGGTTTAATGCGAATGCTAAGAGAGATTTTCTTCTCCTCCTCAAGTTGCTCCTTCGTCTTATTACGCTCAACTTGCGCCGATGTAAGATTACCCTTTTATACAAAGAATTCGCAATTTCAAATTATTGCAGATAATTAAAAAAAAAGAAATACTCGATTCCACCCACCGCCAAATCTTTCTTGGTGATGGTAAAGTTTGGACCCTTGGCTTTGCTCTGGTCTTTCATCGCTTGCATCATAGCCTGTCGCTTCTTTTCCGATTCCTCCAAACGCCTAAAATAGCAAATGAGATAAAAATAATGCAAAAACATATAATGTGTAGGAATAATGTGTAGGATGTCTTATAAAATAAATGTAAAAATTCAATTTGGTGGAAAGATAATTTTTAAAAATATAATATTATATTAAACATTGTGATCCTCTATTTTATCCAAATAGTTAGATTAAATATAAGAAATCAATTTTATTAATTTGTAATAAATTAATTAATTTTAGTAGTTTGCAATTTTATAACTTTGCAAGTTGATATCACTAAATTATCAAGGAAATAAAAAAAATAAATCTTATATATAATGAAAAAATATCAAATATCAAATTTACATCACTAAATTAAATTTATCGGCGCAAATCTTATATTCAATATATCCAACAAATTTTTTCAAATTTTCATTTATAAGATATCTTATAGAAATAATCAAGCCAGATACATTCGAAAATGGAACATTTACCTTCTCTTCTCTTCGATGTCACGTTGTTTCTTCTCCTCTGAAAAATTTTAGAAAGTTCAGTATTAAATATTTAGATACTGTTTAAAAAAAGATACTGTAAAAGAAAAGAAAACAAAAAAATGGGATTTACCGATTTCACGTTGGCGACGTTCTTCCTCTTCCTTCTTCTTCTGCGCCAGTCTCTTCTCCTCGTCTGCGCGAGTGACCTTGCGCTTGGCTTGTTTGTCCTAAACGCAATAGGCATATAATCTTTAAATGAAATGTTAAATAAATATGTGAAGGAGGGAAAAACAGGAAGTATATAAAGCGAAGATTGTACCTTTAATCTCTTCAACTCGTCCTCTTCCTTGGCTCTCTGCTTTCGCCATTCCGCTATGTATTCTTTGAGCTGTTCGTCAAGGTCGCTTCTTTTCTGTTCTTGCCTCTGAATTTTTAACGATGAATTATTATCACGGGTGACACGCACAATTATAAGTGGTTTACGATCGTGCTAGTAGGGCCCAATGTGTGCGAAGGATAAAAAGAGCGATATATCACAATTATTTATTTATAATAAAGCGTTCAAAATACGTTTCAATAGAATTTTTCATAAATAATTTTTCACCATATTTGAAAAGGTAAAGGTTGGGCACTACTCGACGTATTTATATCAGACATCATCACTCACCTTCATAAACTCGATATTCTCGCCAGATTCCCTGAAGAGGTTGGCCGGAGCGAAAACAAAAGTAACTCTCTTTAAATCACGGTTGGATTCGCTCTTTGGAAGATCTCATGAGATCTTCCAGAACTCCATACGCGATTCTCACGTCCATCTCCATTATTTTATATTACAACTCCATCCATTCTCTCCCGTAGTACATATTATTCAATGCCGCTCGTCGCACGTATACACACACAGACAACACATGGACGGAACAGTACAGACAGATAGATACACGGATGGATAAACAGAAAGTCAAAGAAAAAGACAGAATGAAGGACAAAGAGGAGGAGGCACAGGTGACGTGAAAGAGAGAGAGAGAGAGAGAGAGAGAGAGAGAGAGAGAGAGAAAGAAAGAAAGAAAAAGAAAAAAATGAAAGAAGGAAAAAGAAGAACAATGAGGGGAAGAAAAAGGCAAATAGACAAATAATGTGCAAGCATGTAGAAAGAAGAAACCAAAGTGCGCACCGCAGCAAATCGGGAGAAGGCATTAATGAAAACAGCGAGGATCCCATGATTATCTTGAATAAGTTGCTTTTATTCATGAAGATTGTGGACTTTTATAAGCGATTAGAAGAAAAATATATATCAGAAAACAGACGCGTTCACATGTAAGCGTATCTAAAAAAATCTCAAGATGATAAATTTGAGCGGGCATATCAGCTCTAGTTTTCGGAAGATTTCATGTTTTCATGGATTTTCGAGCTAGAAATTAATTCGTCCAAATTCAACGGGCAACGATTCCTGTTCCGAAAAATAAGTCGCTGAAAGAGAACGTGAAATATAGGAAGATATTGCGATTGTTATTGGCTTTTTTTCGCTATCCCTTTCGGATTAAAGCGTTTCGTTGAAATTTGAGGTATTTTTAAGCAGTTTATATAAAGTAAAAGATATCATCGGGATAAGTGAGAATCATTTATTAATGAGGTTTGCGGACACATGGCTATTACTGTTTGAGAATCGATTCTGGCTTAAATAATTAATGAGAAAAATCGTACAACAACTGAGCCTTGAAGTATAAGGGCACGACACCACTTTAACGTAACTCGAACAAGACGTGATTATATACAACTCGTTAATTCGTTATTAATCAGAGAGACAAAACGTGTAAAACACGCGAGGGTGCGAAAGAGATCAAATAACACGAGGGGGAAAGGGCGGGGAGGGGGGGGGGCAGCTTCGAACACTGACAACGATTGATTAGATATTACTGACAGAATTGAGATCTTATACTCGCACAAATAATTCGATTTCTGGCCTATCGCGTGATGCAAGTAACACAATTTTGCGATCGTTTTTTTCCGAAAAATTCATTCATTTGCATTTACATTGTCGTAAAATTACGAGGTAACTCGAAAAAAATGATGACTACGTGCATTAATTTATATCAAATTTAATTTAAAATACGTCAATAATAAATATGAATATTAAAATTGTATAGATTTAATAAAACTAATAATTCTTACATTATTCATAACATAATTTTATTTTGATGGCGTGGAAAAAAAATTGCGAGATTAAACGTTACACGTTGCAATATTGCAAATGTTGCATTATGTATCAAACGATTTTTAAAAAGAATCACGCCGACGTCAGAGCATGGTACATTTCGAGCAGACATCGGTCCTAGAATAAACCGTGTTACGTTATTGTGCATATTTTTATGAAATGCCTGGCAAATTACCAAACGGCTCAAGTATCCTCGCAAGAATCGTTGCTCTTATGCAATCACTGTGGAATATTTACGAACGTTCGCGTCTGACAGACTGCTTCGCAGAGACGAATATGCCATTATTTGTCGTCACTACAGGCCAATGATCGCGCTATCTATTCCGTCTCTGTAAACAGGATCTTCGTCGCGGTATAGATAGAAATTGGCAAACAATCATCAAAGTGTTTTCTATGATCTCATTCCTGTCATAATGCAAATTTGAGGGTCTGGCTGCCGGTTTCGTCGACGTCAGTTAGCTTCAATTAATAATTTCTCATTGACGCTTTGTCTTTTTCTAGAAAGAAAGAGGCAAAAAGAATCCATTATATATTATAGAATATATTATATCTTCCATTATATATTATATATTATATATTATATCTTCTCAATTATACTCTTAGATTTATATATAATAAATCAGACAAAAGAACAGCCAATGTTTATTCGATTTCAACTGGGCTTAAACTGAAGTGTTTGCCTCTTGAAAATCGAGAAACATTTCTCGCTGATATTTTGATTTAATTTATCATCTCGTAAATAAATAAAAAGTAATTTGTTTTTCCATCTATAATAAGAGAAATGCCTCTGCGAAAACAAATTTAATCGACGCCGGAAAAACCGACTCCGGGGGTGATGTAAGAGAGCGGCCGTAGAACAGGGAAGGGGGTATATTATTAACGTGTAAACACCTCGATTTATTCAACTTACTTTTGGGACGCCCTACCCCTATAAAAAAAAGAAAGCACATATTCATTAATAAGATCGTGTGATTGATCGTCGGTTATGTAGGACTGCACAAAGCTGCACGTAAATTATAATCGGTATCGCTCGTCTCCACCAACTTGCGCCTTTCATTATTTTCTTTTTCCGCGCAAAATCAATTCGAACCGCTCGATTATCGCGAACGACGTTCGATTTGCACGAGATTGGTCGCTTCAACACTTATTGCAAGCGTGATCTCGGTATAAATAGTCATCTTACTTTGACAACTAAGCGGCTCGTCGTTACTTTCCTTCGACGGGGATCTCGTACACTGGCGCTTTGCAAACATTTCGTTGCCCAGTTGCCATAATGCGAACAACAGAGCTGATTAGGCGACATATATGACAGACACGACAAGGGTAGGCGTGGACAGGCGAGGAGAGTAAAATGCGAATAAAAGAAATGTATGTTTTTGCAACTGCGATTGGAGTAACCTGCATCAAAATGTTTCGGTGTGGATAATGTCTCTGTATGTGTATTATTTATGTGTCATATGTTGTATGCATGTCGTTGTATGTATTGTTACACATAGAAAAGCGCGATAGCGTTGTTTTCTTTTTTCGTTTCGACGCAACAGCGACACAAGACAAATGCTGAAAGTACACCGGCGACAAAATATATTTTTCTAAAAATCCAAAGGCAAGGATAAGTATAAATATATTTAAATATTGACATTCATTTTTTGAGATAATTTTACGAAGAAAAAGAAGATTGTCATTAAATATGCATCCGTATATCACTACAAATGTATGCTGCTATGATAGATAGCTAAGAATATATATACTTTGTAGCAATATTTTTCTCTTTCGTGTGTAAAATTATCGCAAAAAATGATGATAAAGTGTACAAACTTTTTTATTCACTTTATGTGCCACTATTTGATGGAAGAAGAAAAATGGATGTAGAAAAAGAAAAGAGAAGAAAAATATAGAAAGAGAGAAAGAGAGAGAGAGAGAGAGAAAGAGAGAGAAAGACATAAAGAGAGAAAGAGAGCCAGCACAAGTGTATCGCTACAAAAAATTTTATGCAAAAAATGTAATTAACGACTGCGGCGGCACAACGCGTGTAAGAGATGAAGAAAACAAAATAAAGAGAATGTAAAACAGAGAACGGACGAACAATTAAAAAGACTACATCGAAACAACAAGACAAGACAGCGATTAGACAACGGGAAAAAAAAAGAAACGACAGTGCGTACACCATTTTTATTGGCCGAAAAAAAGAGACGTTTAATATTTGTCGTGTGTAAAACACTTACTCGGTCTTCTTCTCCGGCTGCCTTCGATTTTGACATTTTTTGTATCGTACCGCGCGGGCCGATTAGCCGATCGATCGATGACGAGTGATGGTTTGATTGATTGATTGGTTGGTTGGTTGATTGGTTGGTTGGTTGGTTGGTTGGTTGGTTGGTTTTGTGTGTTGTATGTGGAGATACACACAGACAGAGAGACAGGGAGTGAATAAATAAAAAGAAGAAGGCGGAGTTCATAAATCACAGTCATAGAGAGAAATCTGTGTGTTGCGCACGCAAAATAAAACTTTGAAAAAGCAATTATTTTTTATCGTGCTTCTCTCGCTATTGATTTCCTTTGCGTTTTGTTGTGCAGGAAATTTTAATTTAATTCAATTTTACGCGAAGGAGATTTATGCCCGATCATAACATGTTTTTAAAAAATGGGAAACAGTTGTAATTTGCACTACGCGGCTTTTTATAAATCTTTTTCTCAAAGTATTGAATTTATTATGCATAAATCGCATGAACGTGGAAGAATATTTTTCAAGAAACGCGCTCCTATCTCGCGAAAAAATATTGTATTCAATATTTCTGTCAACATTAAATTTTATCTTTTGACTAAAAATCGTAATAATCTATCTCTTCAAACTCGAGTTATCGAAAGATTCACGCAGCAACCAAAATCGAAAGAAATTTTTAACGTACCCGACGCGATAATTATAATGTTTGTTACAAATCTACAACACTTACTTCCTGAAATGAGAAAATTAAACAAGTCGATTGTTAGAGAGATACCAGGTGCAACTTTGGGAAATGTTTAACATGAATAAGGGACACTTACACTTCTTCGACTTCCTCCTCGCTGCTGCAAAAGAGAAAACGGAAAAAGTCTAGTTAGTCGGGGCGGAAACAGTAAAGATGATTGTTTAAGTTTAAATGTAACAACAAACGAGGGGAATTGCTTCTGACAGTTAGGGGTTCAAAGGCCTTCGAGGGGTTGTTTAAAGCTCTCATTTTTTACGCAAATTAACTCTCGCAACTAAATAAATTTTGATTTGTGATGTAATAATAATCTAGCAAAAGTTTGCCAAGTGTTCTGTGATAAATATAAATATTTATTTGAATTTTTATTTTTATTTCGCGAATTCAAAGTAAATAAATTAAAAATGCCAAGACATTTTATAACAAATAATAAAATAATTTTATAAAAAAGTAAATAATTAAATTGTATACATGTAGCATTTTTATTAACAAATATATAATTTACGCGATGGGAAGCTGTTTTAAAAACTGTCTGAGGTGGCAATGCAAAATACTAAAAGTAAAAATAATATAAATATAAGCGTATATAAAAATGTCATCAAGTAATATATAATCAAAAGCGAACCAAATATCTGATTCTCTCTTTTTAAATTTAAATATTTATTCAGGGATTTGAACGCAAGTGCAATCGGGACATAATGCACGAGGGGGCGATGGATATTGAGACGACACAGTTGGACAAAAGTGCAGAACAGCACATTGAAATACGAACACGAAGCCACACAGGCACTGTTCAGTCTTACGTGGATATTTATTTACTTGATACGTTTTATATAACACGACAAAGATCAACGAGCGTAATCAAGATCTTGTCTATCGTTGACTTTGGCAAAGATCTGACACTCCATATTCTGGAAATTGTTATCTGCATCTTGATTCTTCTCTTTTTGCATTTTGATTACGATATTCTCGGAGAGTAGCGATATCATGTCAAAGATATTATTTCATAATTATCTTTATTTTTCAAAAATTTTATGCAAGTCCATTCTTCAAAATATTACATACATGTTAAAATCTAAAGAAATGCACTTATATAAGTGCACGAAATTATTCGTTGGGATTCAGAATTTTCTAAAACTGCGCTTATGTCAGTTTTTAAAATTACTGTGCCTCAAAAATATATGAAAGTGAATAATAATTATACTCATAATTTATAATTAATTTTGAGAGTCATTAATAAAACTTATCGTTAATTATACTTACGAGTATTGTTCCTCGTCGTCAGACATGTTGACGGATATTTAAGGAGCTGCAAGATAAAAGTGAGACATTCATTATTGAATTTGTCAACTCAATGGCAAAAAGTTTTTTAAAAAAGTTATTAAACGCGAATAATGTTTCTTTTCATATTTTGCATTTTATAAATATGTAATATATAATTTAACAGAAAAAAATATATATGTATATTTCTATTAAATTATATATAACATATTTATAAAATAAATTACATATTTTTTGTGGTACGATTTTTGTAGAGAAAAAAAATATTGCGTAATTCGAATTTTATGTTAAAACACTGTCAGATTTCCCTTTTGATGTCCTTGTCTAAAGTCTTGATGAAAATGGAATGGACAAACTCCTTGACGACCTCATGACGAACATTATGTTATTACAACTTTTATAACTTTTATTTTTTATTACTTACTTATTATTTTATTATTTACTTTTATTTTTATTAATTACTTTTATTTTTAGCTCAATTGATGTATTATTACGCTCAATTCTATCGACACATCACGATTGATTTTGCGATTTTACTTACATCACTTGCCAACAACACGATAAATTTAAGAACAGAGAGAGATGAGAATGGACAGGAGAGATGGAGGAAATTGTGGCAACCAGGTCGATTATAATTTGCGCAATAAAAAAATGAAGGAAAGGGAAGGAGCATTGAAGAGAGGGGGCAGGCGTAGACTCGAATGTACAAAAATGCTCGCGCGACAAATCTTGTGGAAAGGGAAACAAGAGGAAAGTCGAAGCTGAATGGCACGCACCGACGTTCCCAAAGTAATCCGATACTTGGAGGCGAGAAAGAGAAAATGCCAGTTTGCTAACCCTGGCCGCAAGCTCGACGTCGCAAGCTCTATAAGGAGCCGTCCCCTTCTTCTTCGTCGCTCTAATTTTAGAGATATAACATGGTCGCTCGAGCACGTTCCATCTTCTTCTTTCCGTTTCTCTTCATCTCTCGACCGTTTCTCGCGAGTTTCATCAAAGATTCGCAAAAGCCAGACCCTCGCTTCATTAAACTTTAGCAACTTTTCGTAATATTAGATCGGAAAATATTTTAGGGAACGTCGTGTAAAAATAAAAATGTCTGGGAGACATCTTTTAAGCGACGTGTATTATTGAGATTGTATTCTTATAACGCTAATTGCGACTGTTAATTTTATAATGTTTGACAATTTGAGAATTTTAATTTAATTATAATATATTTAATTTAATTATATTATATTTAATTATAATATAATTTAATTATAATTAGAAAAATTGAAATCAGATACAAAATTACTAGTTGAAATAGAATGAAAACTTGGCTCTGACCACGAATCGTCGGTAGCAACTTCCGCAATTTTATAAAATTTTATAAAAATTTTATAAAACGAGATCTTGGTCTCTCTTTCGTTTGAAGCTTTGGTAAGTTAAAATCAAAATTAATATATAATAATAGAAAAATGACTCGTGCGATTGATTTGTGCAAAAAGAAGAAATAAATCTTACAAAGGTCGTTCAAAAAATTCAGAGAATAAAGTTTATAAAAATGATAAATTTTAATGCACACATTATATATGAATTTTTTATGTCAAGCAATTTTTATAATCACTTGCACGTTCTCGACTTGCACTGAAAATAAAAAAAAGTTTTCACCACCGCGTCGAGGCAAGCGATGTCGACTTTCTCTACTGGCAAGTAGATAAAATCGCGCTACGAGCAGACACATGTTGGCGTATTCACCAGGTTTTCATTTGGCTGAGCCCCTTCGATAGAAAAATAACGCTCACTTTTCGTTTCACGAAAGGCACTAGAAAACCTTTACACACGAAAAAGAGGAGGTATTTTTACAAAGACAAAACAATTTCACGTACAATCTCCTCTTTCGATCAATCCTTTTGAGAGCGAGTCACGTGACTCTCGGAAGTTTGATCAAGTGTCTGCTCGTTTGTCTCGCTGCGCGCAAAATTGAGCTTCGTCGGAGCGAAATCTCTCCAGTTAACAATACGATATTCGTCGGTTTCACATTCACAGCAATCACAGCACGAAAACACACAGGAGAACACAACAATTCATGTCGCGAACCAGAGGGGTTCTCCAGAAGGAGAACGATGCCGAGGTGCCTCGAACAGATAAATACGATAGAAGAGAAGAAGAGAAATAGAAATTAACGAGCACACAAAATAACAAAAATGAAACTTACACTCGGGGGATGGTCAATGCGAGTGGACGAGTGCGTGAACGCACGTGTGCGATGTATTCGTATGCGTGTGTAGATGGTTTTCACAAGAGGGTGACTAGCCGGATGCGAGTACTTCGTAGAGAATGAAAGATAGCGAAAGATGGAGATACACGCACAGGAGAGGAGCTTGTCCCGGTGGAATGTGGAATCCGCGACAGCCTCAGCGGCTCTGGGAGGTCCAAGGAGTCGCGGCTCTGGACACGAGCAGAGTTCCGGGCAGCGTGCCCGCTTTCCGATTGGGAGAGAATCGCTCTCATCCGTCTCTATTAATAGATCGGAGATCCACGGGCCACCGAGAGCGATACGATCCTGAGCTGATACTATTTTCGTGTCCTCTACCGCAGCTGCAAATACATATATTTCGCGCTTCTACTCGCGCGATGCGACTCTCCTCGTCGCCGTCGACGGACGATTGCTCCAAAAGTAGGCCTGTGACGATGCACGCCCCCACTTTTCATGGTTGTTGACAATGAGGAATCGGAGATACGAGTCGTTTACGATTTATTGAAATCGCTCGACCAGCTGAAAGAACTGTTATATCTTAATTTCCGTACAATCAAAAATTTTAACATCTATATTCATCCTTCTTTCTCTCCCGTGAATTGAATTCTGATACGTGCCGGATGCCAATTTAAAATTTAACATGAAGATTTTCTTTAATACAGATGAAACTTGTAGAGTACATAATTTAAAATGTTTTCTTTTCTTAAAAAAGTATAAATAATAAAATAAAAGCTACTTTATAATGCGATATAACTTCGTGCTGCTCAAGTGAAAAGCAGGTTTTCAATCTCGTGAAAAATACTTTAGTACTTTATAATATTTTAGATTGTTTGTCCATAGATGTACAAGACATTTTTATAAATATACAGAAACATGTTTTCAAAAAGCATTAACTGTATATTGTCGTTTTATGATTTGCCGAGATAAAAAAAAATAATATATTATAAGAAAGAAACGATTTTCTTGAGAAACCAGGGCAATTTCGTCTTGAGCGATGAAATAGGAGACGCGATGAACAAATGCGGACTGATCGTCTCCAAGACCTTGATAAAGGGTACGGTGAGTATCGCTTAAATGGGCAGAAACAGCTATCTTATCAGCATCGTCGTTGCTGCACCTTGAGCTACAAATTTAAGCTCGAAATTATGCAGACTATCGAATCGAGCGGTGTCTCCTTATATGGAGAGAGACGTATGTGGGAGACGACGATGCGGTATAAAGTTCCCCGCGAACACGAATACGATTCTGTAGCGTTTTGCTTTAAGATTATCTCTCCAAGGTAACGTGAAATCGCTCGAACACGATGCACATGTCAATTCGATAATTTGCGAGTTAAATTAAATATAAACATCATAAAATATCTTATCAATATTTGTCGTGTTAAAATAGAAAAAGTATAATAAATATATTTAAATAAATGTTATTCATCTTCTCGAATGATAAAAATTGTATTGAATATTCCACATAAACTTCATACACAATGTTTTATATTTTAAATATAGAAAAAAATATGAAAAAAAAGGAAAAATAATAAGAAATAATGTAGCAAGAATAGTTACATCAAAATAAGTAGGTTTATCTCTTTGACTTTAAAATGTTAGGTACAATCGGTCGTTTAAACGGTCTATCTCTTCCTCCGAACCTCAACTGCCCCGACTCTTTTTTGCCACCAAAACCACCTCCTGGAAAGATTGAATAATTAAAACTTGCAAAGTTTATGCATCTTGTCGATTACATACCGAGTCTTCTCGGCTTCCATCCCTTCATGCTGCGACCACATTCATAATCGATAAATACTTTATAGCCTTTTAACATAGCATCTGTAGTTCGTCTCAGCACTCTTCTGGCTTCATCTTCGTTCCTCATTTCCACAAAACCATATCCTTGTGAGAGTCCTGTCACTACATCCACTATGACTTTTGCAGAAATAACATCTCCATGTTTGCTAAAAAACTAGACAAAAAATAATTTAAAATTTATTAATATTTACAGTATTTTATATAATGTACAAAATGTTGTATATGTAATGTACAAAATGTATATAATGTACAAAGTGTTATGTAATGTTTAATATACAAAACTATAGCTATATCATGATAGCTATATATGATAAAGTTGATGTTACCTCTTTTAAATCATATTTAGTGACATTAGAACCAAATCTAGCTACAAATAAAGTTCTTTCCGATTTAGATTCTAAATTATGTGGTGGTTCATAATGCATTAGCATTGCTCTACTAATAGCTTTGTCATGAGGTTCCGTATCTGTCCCATCGATACTACCTGCCTTTAAAGGATTGTAATCTTTGGCATAAGGGCTCCAATTTTGCAATACACCTTCATCCTAAAACAGTCATTAATTGTAAAGAAAAATTATTTTAAAGTAAATTCTAAAATTACAATATATATATATTTTTTTTTTAAATTATTTAAATTAAATTAATTCTTTTAAATTAATTCTGCTTTAGCATTAAATGCAATTAAAGAATAAGTTAGAATATTTAAATGTTATAGAGAAAGTTATGTCGTATAACCTAAAAATGTCACTCGCATTGCTAATAAAATATACTCAAGTATAATTTAATATTAACACTAACAGCAATCGCGATAATTTATTCATAATTTTACTGATGAAAAAGACATACCATATTAAGTGTATTTAGAAAATCAAAAATATATACAATGAAACATTTCACACAGATCGCATCTTTGACAGCTGAAGGAAAATCCGAGAACAGCTGTTTCCCGATGATCTCTCATGAAATGCTTGTCAGAAGGAAGACTGAGAGATATTATGGCCCGCTTTTAGATCCCTGAAAGCGATATGCCCTCTATGAACATTAAAAACGTGGACATGAACTACAAAGCCAATGTCCACCAGAGAGAAGACTGAGAGATGTCATGGCCCGTTTTTAGGTGATCCCTGAAAGCGATACGCCCTCTGTTAATCTAAAAAACGTGGACATGAACTACAAAACCAAAGTCCACGAAAATTCTCAGATGGTAACATATATGAGCACAATATCTGATTCTGTTCCGTGCTATGTAAAAAATGCCTGTAGTAAACGAAATGCCTATGTACATAAAATGCCATCAGTGCTGTATAGCAAAACGCATATGTATATAAATATAAATAAATTTTTAATTTTAATTTTTTAATCAATTTTGTGGTCCTCTCTCTCTCCCTCTCTCTCTCTCTCTCTCTCTCTCTCTCTCTCTCTCTACACATCACAAATAAACACACACACTATATATACATATAATATATATATGTATATATAGTATGACGCTACAACTTTATTCTGAAATATTTGCGTTATGTTTAGAAATATTATATATATATATATATATATTCAATATAAACATTACATGAAATACACGCGCTGGAATTACATATATATATTCTATGTGTACAAAATACAGATATATTATCTCTTTTAGAAAGATATTTTAACATTGAAAAATTTAATTATAATATATATTTAATTAATTGATTCATATCTATTTATGTCGTATCACAAAGTAAGATGTTAAAATTTGACTTCAATCCCGAAAACTGTGATCTTCCAATGTAATGTTCAAATAGTATTATTATTAATAAATAGATTGCACACTGTCTTTTAGTTTCTAATTATTTTCAATCATTATGCATTTCTATCCAAAATATTCTCTTCTTCGAGTTCTTGGATTATTATGGTTTATTATGGTTCGTATTTCTTTGTGTTAAAATTATAAAAATTATGTTAGCCCTAACAATCCTCTACTTTTTGAATGGAAAATTAAAAAATCTTAATGATCACCTAATAGCCCTAACAATCCTATTTCTCGATTAAGTGAAATTATTCGAGGAAAGCCTATCTCTAATCACGTATATTTTAATTACGTGCCCTAATTACATTCTCTAACCGCATGCCCTAACCGCGTGAATAAATGTCCGACATTACGTACTATTGTACGTAAAGCTTTTCTTCAGGCCAGTTGAACTTACTTTTCGTTGATTCTGGCCACTTTCTCGCTCGATCTCTAATCAGAGATCGAAAAAGGAGATAAACACTCCTTCTTTTGCCGATTAATTATCGGCAAATGAGCGTAAATATTTCACGCTCATCGTAACGATCGCTCAATTTTACGATCGTTTCTTAAATATTTGAATATAACTTTATTTTAACTCAAATAAAGCCAAATTACTACAAATTTCTATATACTAAATTTTCTAATAAAATTTATGTATGTGTATAACTTTTATGATATTACAAATTATTTAATTAATTAATCGTTTGGCTTTATTTTAAGTTAAAGTAAAATTTAAAAACAATATCTACAAACAAATTCTACAATGGATGAGTTATGATATAAGAAATTAGAATAAAATAAATGCGCGTTATAAGAATAAAGTAGTATCAAAAATTGATAAAATTATTAAAATTATTAATACGTGCTCTTGATTTAATAAACTAGTCAAGTCTTTACAAAAAAAATTTTTTTTTCTTGATTCTCTTTTTTAAATTAATATTTCAATATATTTTCGCAATAGATGCAAAGCATTTCGAAAGAATTTATTAAAAGTTATTTAATTTAATCTATTCTAGCTCATCCATTTTAAGGTAACGGACTTACTCTATCATTCACAATCTACAATCTACAATTTACAATCTACAATCTACAATCTACAATCTACATCTACAATCTCTACGAATCCGTTACCTTAAAGTTAAATAAAAGTTTTTCTCACTCACCGGCACTGATGCGCAACAGCGGAGTTATAATTATCGAAGCTACGTTGTCTGTAACATACAAATATAAAATTCATTTATATTAATGCTCTGCATAAAAATGCAATCAATATTTCAAAAAATTTTTATCGCGCGGAATTTTATATCCGATGTGTAAAATAATAAGCAGAGATAAATACGTGTGGAAAAATTTTATAAAATTTTAAAACTGTTTTTTAAGAAAGTTTTTTAAAAAGTTTTATATAACTTTTATAAAAATCTTTCTCTCTAACTTTCTCTTTAATTCATTTAAATAATAAGATCGAATTATTATGCGTACGATTTATAACAATTGATATACAAATAATAAATATTCACCATCAGGTTGCTCCGCCGATGCAAGATGCCTCTCCCAGGCCTCCTCCTCCTCTCATGTTGTTGACGCGCGATACTTTCAGTGCGGCACTCCCGCACTCACGAGCGATATTTTTATATCGCTATTTTCGTTATTTTACGCGCGATACTAAACGGCACTCCCGCACTACTTCGGTATTCGGATTAAAAATTTGGTTGCGCGATGTATATATTTAATATATATACTTTCAACGACACTCCCGGTTTCGGTACGAGCGAAAATCTCATTTCATTTACGAGACTTAACTTTGAGCCAACAGGTCGGGAGTGCAACGATACAACGAGCAAAGATTAGGCCCGAACCGGAAAGAAGATGAAACGATTGAGGAATAGAGGAAAATAAAGTTCACCAGCTCTTTTTCGCGCATAATTATCCTATCTCGTATCGAACCTGGACCCGCTAAGCATGATTTCAGGTGCTTCGCCCGGAACACGAAGTTTCCCGCAATGCAGGATATGGCTACACCAGGCTGGTAGACGGCAAAAGAAGAGGATACCCACATTTTTTAAATGCTAACATTCAGCAATTTAAAAAATGGGGAGGCAACCCCTTTTACCGAGCGAAAATCATGCTTAGGGGAATCCACTCGACTCCTCGACAGGGTTAACACACGCAGTGCGTGTGGCTGTAGGGTAGACGAGCAAAGAGAAGGGACCCATTGACGACCATTCCGAGCAATCGATCAAGTTCTAACTAATTCGGGCCGAATCATTTGACGAAGTACGAAGCACGAAGCGCGAGTGTACGTTGCATAACAACGTGTGCAAACTCGAAACATCCCAGTTAGTTGGCATCGGAAGTAGAGACTCGTGACAATAAATGAAATTGGGATTTTATATGAAAAAGTCCAAAATTTCCGCGAAAACGCGACGACGCGAGAATACTACAACGCGAAAACGCGGTAACGAAAACGCTTGCTGTCCGCGGCACGTTGACGGCACCGACGACGCGAAAGGGTACTTCGCTTCCCTTTCAGGCACCATAAGATTTATCGTAAATAGAAAAATTTAAGATAAATCTCAAGACACCATCCAAGTACTAAGCCCTCCCACCACGACAAGGTGTACCCCATGGGAGGGTTATATTATATATAATTTTATATATAATATAATATATACAATTGCAGCATTTATTTTGCAATATAGTATATAAATTTAAATTTGCATAACAAGACCGTAAAACAAAATCATTAGCACGGTATTGTTTATGTCGGATATTATGTTATTCATTGTTGAAATTCATTGTTGAAATTCATTATTAAAATATAATATAATTTGAAATGTAATACAACATAATTTAACAATTTTTTTTTTTTTTTTTTTTACGTGGGGAAAATGCTCCTTATGCACACCCCGACGGGACCGCTATTTAGCGGTCCCGTCGGGGTAGTGTTGGGCTCTCCCCGCCGCCATTTTAACGGCAGGGACTACCAACTAAAAACCCCACGCGCCTTTCCTTAGTCTTCCAACGCGCAAGTCCCCGGAACCATGTGCATAAGGAGCATTATATGGAGTAGCCTTAACAAACTACTATCCTATTATATGTTCATAATATTCACTATATTCAATATTATATACATTCAATATATATTCACAAATATCTGAAAAAAATAATTTTCTTAATATCTTCGATATTAAACTTTAATAATATAAGCTGTTTAGATAAATTTATATAAATAAAATTAATGAAATACAATTAATGAAATTATATATATCTCAAAATATATATAAATATATAAATTTTATAAAAATTATTATTTAAATTAAAATTTTAAATACGTAAATACACAAACATCTATATATAAGAAAATAAACATATAAATTTTATATAAAAATTATTATTTAAATTAAAACTTTAAATACATATATACACAAACATCTATATATAAGAAAATAAACATATAAATTTTATATAAAAATTATTATTTAAATTAAAACTTTAAATACATAAATATACAAACATCTATATATAAGAAAATAAACATATAAATTTTATATAAAAATTATTATAATTTAAACTAAAACCTTAAATGTATATATAAGTATATAAATATATAAATTTTGTAAAAATTACTATTTAAATTAAAACCATAAATATATAAATAAATGAATATATAAATTTTCGAAAAGTTATTATTTAAAAATATTATTTAAATTAAAATTTTTTTTGAAATTTTAATAATAAATCTTTTCCTATAAATTCTGTTCATTCTTTAATATCTATTCTTTAATATCATTCTTAATTCTATTTTAAATCTTTCAATTTCTATATTTAAAAATAACTTATAAATTCATAAATATACGAAATTAATTATTCATATTACTAAAAAATAACTTAATATATAAATTTGTATTTTAAATTTTTCATTTAAAATTTCGTATTACATAAAAGTATATAAATTTCGTATTACATAAGTACATAAAATTTCGCAAAAAAATTCGTATTACTATACAAATTATTGAGTGTTAACAATTTAATTTTCATCCTTATATAAATAAAATACCTATAAAAAAACACTCAAAAAATATTGATCCCTTAAAAATTCTTAATATTAATAATATACGTGGGTCGTTTGATAAGTTTGGTAAATTTCCGTGAAATTCAACGAGTATTTTGCAAGTTTTGAGACAGTCTATTTTTTCGACAGTTAAAAAATTGGAATCTCGTTCGACCAAGGGTATAGACCTCAATGAA